GCCCCGCGCCCGCGCGCCTTCGGCTCACTTCCTACCCCCGCGCCCGCCCGTGTCCCTTCTCCAGTCCTCACGCTCTGGGGGGCGCGTGGCTCCGCGGCGGGGGGCTCGGTGTGCCGCCGCGGGTCCTGGAGCCCGCGCACCTGTCTAGGTTTGCCCCTCGCCGCGCTCCCTCTCGCGCCTCCTGGGACTGTCCCGATCCCTCGGGGCGGCGGGGCCCGCCGGCCGCGCGCTTCCTGCGGGGACTCCCCGCCCAGCCTCGTGGGGCCCAGCCCTGGACCGCGGGCCCGCGGACGAGTCATTTGGCCGCTCAGGACTTGGGTGTTCCCATCTGTAAACCGGGCTTATTTCTCTATCAGCGCTTTTCTTGATGGGTGAGCGTAAATACTAAAAGCTTGCGCGAGGCTTGGCTTTTCTAGGCTGCTCCTATTTAAATATTCCCTTCTCCAGTCCTCTAACTGGAGAATAGATGTAGGTGGATGTTGGTGCGAGTTACTCTTTCTTCTTGGGGGGCACAACGTTGGGGGACTTTGCCTAGGGGGTCTGGCAAGGTATCCCTGAGGAGGCCGTACTTAAAGTGAGTTCTGGAGGGCTCCTAGACAGCTTATTCATTAGGGAGAAACGGGAAGCCCGAGTGGCAAGGAAGCTGCGCTGGGGCGGGGGGTGGGGGCATGGCAGCCCCCTCCCCCAATCGGTCTTGATGTTTTTCCTCTTAATCTGTAGCTGTGTAAGGAGAAACAGGTAATGGCTCTTGCTGTTGGTTAGAACATTGTGTTCATGTGGTCACACGTTAGAGCCCAGCGTGGACAGCTTGGCCCCACCTTCACTGGAGCCCCAGACTGGCCCCCTTGGCTGGGTCACACTTGAAAATGGGAGGCTGTGATTGGCTAGGAATGCTTGTTCCCCCGCAGATTGTAAAGCAGTTCAGAGTTGCTGGATGGTGATGGTGGCTCAAGGATCTTTGCACATAGAGGGACTGCACTAAATGTTTCATACAGGCCTCATCCACTGGCTGCCATTATGGTGTCATTTGGGACGAGCTCTTGAGGCTGCCCGCCCTGTGACTTCACTTGGAATTCCCACCCTAGTCTCCCTTCCTTGGGGCGGTGATGGTTTTATTAGGCATGCTCATGGTATAGACAGTGTAGCAGTTCACAGTTTACGGACGCTTTCCTACAGCCAGGTGAGTCTCAAAGTGGGGTTCATGGACTGTCCGGAGGAAGCCTGTCATTTCATTCTGTTTAAAACCTTTCAACCTTCCCGTGAGGCAGGTGAAGGGGTAGAGCAAACCTTTTTTACACTGGGAGAACTAAAACCCAGAGGCAAGTGACTTGCCCAAAGTGGGCAGTGTTAGAGGGTGTGTGGTGGTGGTGACCGAGGTTGGGTGGGCTGGAGTCAGAAAACCTACGCCTTTGAGAGTGAATTTTGCCCAAGGATGATATGTATATATCTCACACTTTAGCAAAGGCTGATTTTGTTGAAGGAGGGGTTGTGGCTTATGGACCTAGAAGGAATTTCCTGTTCTCTGGTGTTCTATCCACACGGCCACGTCTTACCATTAGAATTAATTGTGTGAGGTCTAGGTCTTTGTAGTACCTTTGGGATTGTCAGAAAAAATTATTGTGTTCGCTGTGGTTTTCAGCGTCGAGTCTTATTATATTCTATTCTTTGAAGCTTAAGTTGTGCACGGTAACTCCCTTCCTAAAAATTTAATTTTCAATTATGTAATACATGGACAAACATATTTTCTTTAAAAAAAATAGAACATTATAGATTAAGTTAAAGTCTCACCGCAATTGCAGTCACCCCCTTTTTACCAGAGGTGACCACTGTTATCAGTTTGGGATAGATCCTCTCAGTTCTGTTTTTATATTTTACACATGTGTGCACTCAGAAAACATGCACCTCCTTGTGCATACCTGCCCTTGTTTCCCTGGGGCGGTGTGTTAGTGTCCTGTGGCTGCTGTAACAAATTAGCACAAGTGTAGTGGCTTAAACAACACAAATTTATCATCTCACGGTAGACAGTAGACTCCATCTACTGCTCTGGAGTCAGTAGTCCAAATTAGGTTTCCCTGGGCTAAAATCCAGGTGTGGGCGGGGCTGCATTCCTTCTGGAGGCCCTGGGGGGAGTCCGCTTCCTTGCCTTTTCCAGCTTCCAGATGCCTCGTTCATTCCTTTGCTGGTGGTCCTCCTTTCTCCAGCAACCCTGGGCACACCCTTCTCCTGCTGTCATCTTTCTGGTTTGTTCCCTCTTGTGTACTTGTTCCACTTTTAAGGACCCCTGGGATTACATTGGGCCCACCTGGATAATCCACAGCCCTTGCCCTATTTTAAGGTCAGTTGATTAGCAACTTGAATTTCATCTGCAGCCTTAATCCCCCCTTGCTACGTAACCTAACAGATTCGCAGGTTCTGGGGGTTAGGATGTGGACATCTGTGGGGGCCCATTATTCTGCTTCCCACAAGTAGACACCCCAGGAGTGGAATTGCTGGGTCATAGGGTTTGCACGTTTTTGTGTTAACAGCTACTAACATTATCCTCTATGGTGTCTATTACCATACCAATTTATACTTATAACAGCAATATATTAAAGCATCCTTTCCCCATCATCCCGTCAACAGTAAATACCATTTTTTTAAACTCCCTTCAGACTTAGAAAAATTATGAAAATGTTTCATTTTTGTTTTAATTTCCATTTCCTCATTTATTAGTGAAGTTTAGTTTCTTGTATAATTTTCACCTTGTATGGCTTCTCTGAACTGACTCTTCAGGTCTTTTGACTGCCCATTTCCTTAAGGGATTATCTTTTTTCTTACTGATTTGTCGTAGTTCTTTTTGTATTTTGGACATTAACTCTTTGTGGATTTTATATTAAAATTATAACTATCAAAATATCTGATTGATTGGAACATTCCGTTCCCTGACTGTGCAGGATGAGAGTTTATTTCAGGGCCTGTTTTGAGGTTATAAAGCTCAATGATTGTGACTTAGAATAAGAACAGCAAAGAATGTGTGATGTGTGCTTGATTGTCTAATCTGGTTTTTTGGGATTGCATCATACACTGATGCAAATATATACAGACGACCACTGTGTATCACAGCCCTGCTTCCTACAATCCTACGGACTTAAACTTGGTCTTCAGAACAAGGGAGAATGGCTTCACTTCTGTTTGAGTGGCTCATTTGATGGCATTCCGTACATTCCATTTGGTTAGGAAGCTCCCGGCCATTTGCCTTCGCAAAGCCTCTGGATGCCTCCTGGTTTTCTCTGGGGTCAGGTCTGAACTCTGCTCGACATCTCCGCTCTGCCACAACCGGCTGCCACCCTTTCTGCACGCCTGTGTGATTTCTATGCCCTCTGTGCTCCGACCAGCACCTTGCCTGCTTCTTTGCGTGTACACATTTGTCCGAATTCATTGAGCTGTCACTTAAGATGTATGCATTTGACTGTAAGTTGTACCTCAAAGTACTGTTTGCGTTCAGGCAAAAAACCTTCCTGTCCGTCCTTCTCCCTCCATTACACACATTTCCATTGTCAACTCCTGACAGGCAGAAGCTATTATTTTTCTTTACATCCCATATCTAGAATAATATCTGCTATGAAAAAAAGGCTCAAATGTTTCATTTGATTTACATTTTTATCATTTTTTTTTAGGATGGTATCACATTTTAATTTGATTAACAATGGTAGCAATGTGTATAGTATTTTAGTTATTGGTCTTTAAACTCTCTTTCTCTCTCCTTTCTCTGTTACACACACACAGACATACACAATTTGCGAGGTAAATTGCGTCAATTTGAAGAAAGAGGAACTAACTGAATCACTAGTACGTAGAACCGATTTTGCCAGAATTTGTGGTTTGCAAGATAGTGATGCGTCCCGGGTGGGGGAATTCTGTTTTGCTATTATTTTTCCCTTCCTAAGAAGAACGCAGCACAAAAAGAGATGTTTTACCCATCATGTTTGCTGGGAGGACGGGGAGAGACTGGAGCAGTGAGTTGCAGGATCGGTGTGTATAGCATTGGGCCCTGCTGTGTTTGTTAGGAGGAGCCGACTCAGTGATCACAGCCTCGGAGCATGCGGTAGGAGGCCTCCACCCCACAGGTATGCGAAGAGTGTGACTCCTGATCACAGTACCGTCTGAAGAAGTGTTCACCCTCTGCATGTTTTTATTACTGAATCATTAAAAAATCATAACCAGACTGAAGGGATAGATGTCCTTTGGGAAAATGTCAGTATTAAAGTATCACGTGGGACCCCTTTTGGGTGGACTCAGGAGGGTCTGAGGTGTGTTCTGCTAGTGGAGCGCTAGGAGAATCTGAGGCCGTACTTGATGCTGTGTTCTGTTGGCTGGGCTGCAGGAGAGCACGTTTGCTGTGTGTGTGTGTAGGACGTGTTTTGGGGGGGGTCTTTTATAACTCTTAACCAATTTGGAGTTTGTATGCTAAGCAAATGTAATGTGAAATTACAAGATGTTTGATTAATTCCAGGGAAGCTTGATATGGACTGGAGAAAGTTGTGATTACATAATGTCTCTGAGAAGCATATTTACATTATTTCCCAAGAATCAATCATAACCTGATTTGTGCTGGTAAAGTTGTCTACAAGAAGTCTTACGAATGAGTGGTGATGAGACCAGTCAGATTTCATTGTCATATGTGAATTGGCACTTTGAGGAGAATGTTGTTATACGAGTAATATAACCGCGAGTACAAACATTTTGTAAACAGAGAAATCATCCATAATTCCACCACCTTAACACAACCACTGCGTTCTGGTGTATTTCCTTTTTCCTGTGCATCTGCTTTTTACATAGTTATCCTTGGAGTGTGTATACATTTTATAGCCTATTCTTTTCACTTAACATTTT